AGAAGCCACTAAGCCAAGCACTTAGGAACAGTGCTGTCAAGAAGTCAGTGCTATTTAGAGCCTAACAACTACTCCAGTAATTTAGCACACTAAATCACAAAATATTTTAAAAGTTGCTTTTGACAGCGAGTCTAATATGGTCAAGATTATTTTATCACGTTCAAGTTACAGCCCTCAGGCTAATATGCTCTTAGACAACGTGGCACCTACCTACCAGGCAGTTCACACAACCCACAAACAAGTGCAAAGTCTGAGGTTTAGCCAGATTAGTTCTGAGAACATTAGAGACACAAGAAATCTGCATTCTGCTTCTTGAGACACCACAAAGTGATTTGAGTACAAAGCACTATGAAAAATTCTTTCTCTGGGGGGGGAAAAGCTTGCAAAATATTTTCAAGGTTTATCTACTGGGGAGGGAGATCTTTTAAAATAATGTTGTTTAATTAGGAAAAGAACTTTTAGAAATATCACTCCAAATTGAAACTGAGTTATAGCAAAGTGAAATTACCAAGTATCTCCTCATACCACCCTTAGTCAAAAGGATAAACACTTCCACTATGCACACAGAGCTCTAACTCATCAACACTTATTCTTCAAGAAAAAACATCTAGGCAGATTCCCACGAGCACAGTAGGAACAATTAAAGTACATTTCAAGATGTTATTCCAGAAAGGGTTTTTCAAAAGCATTAGAAAAGTTGATATAATTCCAAGTGTCTATTGCCAGCTACATATCCAAGTACTTGCTACCATTAAATTTCAACTACCCTAAGCTAGAGTTTGACCAAGTGAACCACTGTGTCTCAGCCCAGCTAAGTGTCCACATAAACTTCATTCTCTCAACAGCTTCCATTGTAACTCCTACATTAGTATTAACACTTCTACTGGCATCTCCCATGTTAAACAAGTCATCATGAAATGAAATACAGTGTTCAAACACTAGCTTGAGTATGCTATTCTACATTTGAACAGCAGAACTTTAAAACTTGAAGGATTCTCTGCCTTTCTGAAAGCCCTGGAATGTTATAACAAAGGCAGCAACTCAATTACAATAATAAACCTTAACTGTTCATATAATACCATGCACACTGCAATTAATTGCTAGTTATTTAATACTAGTGGTACTATGTTGCAGGTATTAAAGAAATAATTCAGTCTGAGTGTGCTTAAAAACCCACAGTGAATTCAGATTAAGCAGTGTGACCCACCTACATTATGGGGATGCTTCATGCAAATTCAGGAGTGCTGATCTTGTACACTGTAACTGCATCACAGCACCCAGATGCTCAAGCCAGACTGAGTTCTAGAAGCAGTCTGGCTACAGAAGTAGAGTTATTCTCGACAACAAAACATAGACATGTCTGTATTCTTTCAGGAAGAATTTCACTCGTATATAAAACAACTCAACCAAGAATTTCAGGATCACTAGAACTCTTAGTGACACAGAACTCCCCACAGGAGCACATGCTAGGGGGATGGCTAAGGATGATACAGTTAGAGACCGGCTACCCTTGTAACTCCCAGACAACTGCACTCACTCTTCTAGCCCAGAAACCATGATGACAACAGGAGACAAAGAAGAGGTAATACTTTGTCGTGAGATTTACCAAGAGATCAGACTTTTCCTCTTCATAAGAACAATTAATCTTAAAAATGAAAGAACCAATTAAAAAAAAAAAAAGAAAAGAAAAAAGGAGTAACACATTTTTAGCTAGTCTCAGAAGCTACATATGAATCCACACATGCAGTCACTAGTAAATAAAGAGCCTCAGGCATAAGGTATCCAAGATTTAACTTCTAACCCTCGGTCTAAAAACTCGAATGCGACTAGATTAAGAAGTATTGTCCTAAATTTGTGCATATTCGCCAAAGCAGAGGAAAGCAACAAATAATATATTGCCCAAAGCCTCATTTACAGCAGTACAACAACATCTTCCTTAAAGAACCTGCAACAAGTACCACATGGAAACCAAAATACCCCAAACCCTGAGGCAGTATCATTTAGGTTTTTAGGATGTAAATTTCAGTCATCCACTCACAGCTGGTAGATTATGCATATTGCCTAAATCATCACTGATTTTCAAGGAATCTGATTTTTAAAAACCTTTTCTCACTGTGTCATAGTGATAGCACATTGACAGCATCATTTTGGCATTCCTTTGCTTTTTAGGACATGTTTTTACTGCCTATTCTCATCATCTGTTTATTTTTGGCTTCTTTTTTTCTAAATACTGAAGCTGCCCTATCAGTTTCACAGGCTTATAAATGTTATACATCAAAAATTAGTTTCACTTATTAAGGCAGGAAACGGCTTTAAGAACTCTGGGATCTGTGCCTCAAAGCAAAAGCTTTATCAGCAGGTTCCAGTCACTGCTTCTTGCAAAAGAAAATGGTGCCGATTAAAACCCCATACACCTGATTTCAAAAGGAACACCTACCCACTGAACATTCTTCACATGGCTGCAAGGGGGGCTGTACCCCAAACACAAGGCAGCTCCTTCTCACACACTCCCTGCCCCCAACCCTGCAACACTGCTCAAGAAAAATGAAAACTATACATAAATAGATGATGGCGAGATAAAGGAACAATAATTCATCCCCTTATTTCTCTAGACTTCAGAAGTGGTGTACTTCAATAGTCATAGCGTAGTTCCATGCCTGACCTGCTCTCAGTATTGTGTTGCATTTGGAAGTTAGAGGGATACAAATAGCCATATACTTTAAAAATTAACTCATTTCTTAGAAGTATTATGTAAAATGAGTTTTAAAAGGGACATTTAACTTGTGTGGTATTGATTCAATCCTTACTTTCCTTCTCAATACGGAAGCAGTATGTCATTAATTGTACTCATATACAGATACAATGATTTTTGAACCAACATCGTCAATAATTAAATCCTTTTCCATAGCACTTCACTGAATCAGAACTAGCCACCACTGTTAGGATTATTTCCCTAGAACAAGTAGTATTTTAAAAGAACAATTAAAAGAAAATACAGCTTCTTAAAAATCACAAAGGAAAATGAATCTTGCAGTGCGTAATGCAGCCCATCTTTACAAGTGTAGAGAACCCCAGTGAATTCACATGGATTCTGCCTCGACAGAGCTCCTCATGAGATCAAGTCAGAGTCATTTGAGTTTTCCTTCTTTCAACATACTATTTATTCAGATAAACCCACTTAACCAAAACCAAGTCAAGGCTGTGAATACTAATAATGTTTCAAGCATCTTGTTTTCAGAATTACAACATGCTAATATTTGAAAGTCAACAATTTGGAGCTAATGTTCCACAAATAATAATACATTGCTGCAGCACCTGGGATATGCTAGATGTTGTACAATCCCATGGCCACCAAAATCAGATAGCAGTTTATCATAAATATTACAAAACCTTAAAACTTCTTACATTAATTTGTTTTTATAGTCAAACAATTTGCACTAGAACCTCAGTATGTTTTATTGATTATGATACTCTAACCACATTCAATGGGATAATGACATTTGTGAAGGAGAACTGCAAGTGTTTTTCATGTTGTACACATGAAAGGTAATATAGGAGTATCACAGTGAGAAGCTGGTCCGACTTAAAGGGAACACTAGGACACATTCTTATCACTGTCAATAGCTGTTATCTTTGAGGACTGAAGTTTTGTAAAAGGCAGGCAAGAGCCTAGTCATTAGAAAATGCCCTGAATATATATAGGACTAAATATAGGAGTTTAATGATTGTCAAAGAACACTATTGAGGAACAGTTAGTTTTACCTAACCTTACTTAGGGAACCTTAAGAACTGTATTTTCCATGTCATAATACATCTATTTTTAAAGCCATCATAATATCATATGATATTACATTAAACAGATTTAAATCTGCAATTTTACTTTAAAGCTTAGCTTAAAATCCTGTACTTAGGAAATATTTTAAGTATTTGTATGAGAATGAGAAGTATTCAGAATTTGCCTTTCCATTCTTAATCCTTTTCCAATACCTTTGAATTTTGCTAATACATGCAGTAGACAGAAAACTTCCTCTACCTCTGTGTGGAAGAACATGCAAGATAGAAAAATGAAAGCAAATATAACTATTCTAAAGTAAATCTAGAATATTTACAGTTTACATTGTATCAATCAGATGACTTAAAACTAATAGCTTCTCCACACCCCTCCAAGAGCACCTATTTATTTTCTCACCTGGCTCCAAAACTATTCCAATTATCTTTTTATCCTAATTTTCTTCCTTTGCATTTTCTCCCCCATGCACAAATAGAACAGCAAAGAGCAGCACAGTCTTCATAGAATTACTCAGATGCACCAACCAACAAGACATCTTGAAAACAGAGTTTCTCACTTGTTTCTTTTTTTTAGATATGCATGTACATACTAAAAATGATGACAAGGAGGAAAAAAAAATCCATTCATTCTCTAAGCATCATTTTAAGGCCGCAGCAGTATGTTTGATATTCATCTATTCCCATTTCTTCAGAATTATTCCAGACATCGAATCCTGAGCACTTGAACACAATAGAAAAAGCACTGGTGCACAAGTTTGGGTCTTTCTGTCCTTATTTGGGCACATCTTGCTACCTCTCTACCTTTCTTCAGGCTTCCCAAGCAGGGCGAGGGAATGCAAAGAAAAATCTACAGCACAATGAACACACAGGAAGAGAACATCCTACTCCTGTTTTCTTGGCTTGCAACATGCAGAAAAATATAAAGCTTAATATTAATGACTAGTGACTGGCTCCTCTGACTCGTGGAGTCAACATGAAGGCTTTAAAGCAAGGTTACCTGGGATTGCTCATGGTTGTATTTTCAGTTCTTATTCGTAACTTCAGGGTGTCCAAGCATTACTAGATCAGCAGCAAAATCCTTCAATCACTGACAGAAATTTGCTTAAGAAACAAAAAAGATGCCCCAAACCACTTTCAATGCTATTTTAGTTATGACACTCTCTGTACAAAACTAGATACTTCCTCAGAGCTTTTGTTAAAAGCCCACTTACCTCACGAGCGGCTAATCTATCACTCAGCTCCTCAGCCTTATCAATGTCACCTTCAGCCACAGACTTCTCTATGCTAAGTTCAAGGCCAGACTAGAAAAAGAAAAGCAAATCTCTTTAGGACAAAAAGAAATAACACATTTAAAGGGAGCATCTTTTTTCTAAAAATATTTCTTTCGTAAGATTCTTTAAGACACTGCATAAACCTGTAATTTCTGTGTAACACAAATCACTTTGTCTATGTATTGTAATGGACAGTATAATTAAGAATTCACTGAAAGGCCGCCTGAGCACAAATCATTGCATTAGTTCCACCTTATGTGCAGGATAATACTGTAGGTTAAAAAAAATTACACGGACTAGTTTATGCCTGTCACAATAAAATTTCATCTGAAGATCTGGCTTATCTCTTCCATCCCTGGAGCTTTCTAAACAAAATGTGAAATGTATGTGTCAGGTAACACGAAGAATGGCAATTACCACTGTATCATTACAGTTCTCAGATCTTATCTTGATCTAAAAACTGAGTTCTGGCATGGTGCCACTCTGCTGTGCTAATAAATTAAGAATTCTAGCAGTCCTATAGAAAACAATGAAAAAGCTTCAGAATTTAACCTATGAAAGTGAGAAAATAACCTTTGTAATTGACATAACTTCTTTAACAACAACATTTACGAATAATGTAACAATAAAGAGTAAATATTTACTGGAAATTATAGTGGGAAACTTCTGAAGGAATACAGAAGGGTAGCACAGGAGGCACCAACTTCAGAATGTCACAGAAAACTCACTTTCTCTTAACAGACACTTTAGAGCCTCACTGGTTTTAAATATTAGCAATGCTCAAGATGACATATTTGAGTTTCATAACACTTTTTTTTCTAAAGATGAAAGTAAAAAAGCAAACAATTCTTGAGAAACAGTGATCTACAAATACTGTGCTTGAATTACTCAGGTGGCAGTTAAAAAGAAGTGCCCAATTAGAAGCTACAGTGACAGCCAACTGTTAGATAGCTTCTCTGAAATTAATGAGACATAGGATCCACTAGTGATTGAATCTCTGAACTTAGGTGAAGAACATCTGCATTTTAACAGTTTAGGCCTCATTCCAGATCTATCCTGAGCAGTTTAAGGACAACTAAATAAGAACTCAGGCAGAGGCAAACAATGTCTCATGACTTCCATACAGAACTAACTTTAAGCAAATGAAAAAATAAGCAGAATTATCATAAAGGAGGCTAACTGAACATTTGGTGTTATAGAACTTACACAGGCCTTTACTAGAAAAAGCTACGGAACAAACATAGCTATGATGAATTTGCAATACGATGAGTTTCTTAGCTTCCCCATTGTGTTGTACCAGTTACTTCAAATATGACTGGTTACATAATAGTATTTATGAACAGAATATGCTATAAACCTAGTAAAACTGTATGGAAGGTTTGGCTCTGTAATTCCTATAGTCCTTGTTGTCAACTAAAGGATTTAGGTGACACATTTTAAAGTTAAAGTATTATTAAAACCAAAGAAAATAAGCATTCAGACAATGCATGTGAAGTGTTTTGTGTCTCATGGTAACAGAAAACAGAACCAGACAGGAAATAAGTGCGGATACTGTCTCAAAAGAAGGCACAGCAACTACTCTATTCAAGTACAATTCATGAAATATCCAGAAGGGAATTCATTTAAAGATATGCATAAAATTATCCTTCCTCAGAGTAACTTTATCATTTACCCACTTTTAAATAGTCTCAGTTTTACTCCTAAATCTGTTAAGGCCGAGTTCTTTAACTGTGAAGTACAAGCTGACATTGCTTTTGTACAAACAGTCACCTTTTGTGGAGCCCTGCTATGCACAGGTGATTCAAATCTATCATTGATTCCAAAGTATTGTGTAAGTTCTTTCCATTTCTCTTCATTTGCCAACTGTTGGCTGCTAAAAACAAAGAAACAAGAAGTCATTAATATAACCAGTTCCCCTTCCACAATTTGTAATATTCTTTTAAAGGGTAAAAGAAACTCTTCCATTTGACAGACATGCTCTTTTCATACAGAGTTTTTAACAGAAGTGAAATGAAATAGTCCTTCCCTTCTTAATTCCAGAATCTTAAAAGCAAGCTTGTAGACTCAAGAATCATTAAAGTTGGAAATGACCCTTAATATCGAGTCCAACCATATGCCTAACACTACCAAGGAGGAAAAAGGAGGACGTGGAGCAGGTTGAAGAGGAGCTTGTATGCTATTACATGCAAAACATCTTTAGGAATAATATTAAGTCTATTTAAAGTTACATTAAGTACATTTGCATTAATTTTTCAAATCAGGCCATCACTGGTATCAAATTCAGGCTGCAAAACAGACACTGAACAACTTCAGTTGACATTTCATACAAGGTTCAAAGCTAGGCTCTGGTCATGCATGTGGTCATGCTTTCTACAAGCTTTGCCTGATATTAAAACCAAACCTCAGACAATCACACTGACCAGTTTTACCTCTTAGTCACTTCATCGCTCTGCTTCTGTTTTCCTAGGAGAGGGAAAAATAAAGTCCAACATTACACAGTAATACCCTATAGCATCCCGTGAAGTTAACAGAACTCTGCTTGGTCGCATTTCCTTTGAAAGATTGACACATGAGGATTTTTAGCCAATAATCATGTGGATTTAAACCACTCACTGTAAGACTTTTCATACAAAGAAACTCCTACAGTATCCCTGAAGACCTTTAAACCAGGACACACAAAATATGTTTTACAGAATTACTCAAATACACTTAGCCATTATAAATCATTATTAACTGAGTAAGTTCTAGCTCCAGGTTAAGAGGAAGACAAATGCACGACTTGAACTTTAAGCAGAAATTCACAACCTAGACGTACAAGTGATTTACACAACTGAAAAATAAAAACCTGGATAATAACTAGATAACACTCACTCAAGCATTCAAATCTCAGTAAGAAATAACTAAGATCCACAACCAAAAAACAACCCCACAAGAAAAACCCCAGGCCCAAAACCCCACAACCCTTCTCCTGCTCCCAAAAAAAGCCAAACACACCAAAAAACCAACAACACCCAAAAAACCCCAACATCCCCCCCTCAAATCAGAAAATCCCATTTCTAAAAGTACTTGATACTAATTCCATTGTGAGAAAACAAATTAAGCACCTTTTCTGCAGCGCTTTCTTTTCCGGCCTTTGCTTTCCTGTTTTGCTTGGGTTTTCATTTCATGACTTTTCTTCTGGAGCTCGAGAAATTTCTAGAAGATTAAGAAAAGGCAAATCAATATCTTTTAATTTATTTTCCATTAAAAAAAAAAAATACAAATTGCATGATATGTTGAGAAACGTTGTCCCAGTATCTTATTTATCCACAGGACCTTGTTATACATATATAGCATATACATAATGCTATACCATTACACTAAAATTTATCAATTGAGAACATCCAACTCTGATGGCATTAAACTGGAATTGGCTCTTTCCTTGCCTCTCCCTACATCCCAGGGCTATTTAACCCTGACAGCTTTCTCCTAGGATGTGACACTGAATACACTTATGCTGGTTGCATGCTCTTGAGCTATTCCTCATACTGTTATTGCCTAGCTGGTAGTTGGATTCCAAGCTTTACTGACAGCCTAGTCCTTGCACAGCTGTCTATCTACATGGATTGATGGGTAGAGGAAAAAAACAGTGTTTTTCAATTCTTATTTTGACTCAAAAAGCCTAAAACACAGATTGCTTTGTTTATACTTTTTACAGTCCTCACATGCAACAGGAAAATCAAGAGGTTATAAGCAACTATAAGTCTGAATGCCTGCAACTAACCCCTACAGAAAGCAGGGGGGCACACCTGTACTTCACAGACACACACCACCAGTGCAGTAGCTACATACTGAGCCCTAAATCCTTCCTACTAGTGTAGAATGCAGCTACAAAGAAGCTCTGAGCCCATATGCTACCAAAACCATAAGTCTTTACACAGTTATCCAAACATCTCCTTGCCTGAAGCAATCTAAGGTATATTATGACAACTGCACTTTGATCATATTTTATCTCATTTCAGGTTTGGATATTGAATATTCAACATGGAGTTATTTTGATTTAAAAATTAGCCATTCATCTGCGAATATGCTGCATTCATTCTCTGGATAACTGGAGACCTGTAACATTACCCACGTTCCACACATGTAAAGAAACTCCAGAAGGGCATGGCTGAGATTCATTTTCTTCAGGTATCATCGATATCACAACAGGTTCCCTGGTGGCATTACTTTCAGGTCCATTCTCTTGCAATTCTGGAACCTGAACACCTTCAACAACTTTTCCATCTTCCTTTGAGAAGGAACCATGCGATTCATCACCATCATCAGAACTTAATTCAACATCGCTTTCAGTCAGTCCTGGAGGTAACAGTCCACTCCACATCTCCGAGCTTAAACAAG